TGGAACTGTGATAAGCTCACAATCTTCCAAAGCTAATTTTCATAATTTTCTATTTATTTTGACAGGCAGAGTGGATAGTAAGAGAGAGAGACAGAGAGAAAGGTCTTCCTTTTGCCATTGGTTCACCCTCCAATGGCTGCCACGGCTGGCGCGCTGAGACCGGTGCATGCGCTGATCCGAAGGCAGGAGCCAGGTGCTTCTTCTGGTCTCCCATGGGGTGCAGGGCCCAAGCACTTGGGCCATCCTCCACTGCACTCCCTGGCCACAGCAGAGAGCTGGCCTGGAAGAGGGGCAACCGGGACAGAATCCGGCGCCCCGACTGGGACTAGAACCCGGTGTGCCGGCACCGCTAGGTGGAGGATTAGCCTATTGAGCTGCGGCGCTGGCCAATTTTCACAAATTTTAACATATAAACATGGTAAGTTGTTTTGCTTGAAGAGAGGAGTTCACAGCCATTCATTTATGAGAAGGGGCGGGCATTTGGTGCGGCAGGTAAGATATTGCTTGGGACAGCCACATCCCAATTGGAGTGCCTGGGTTCAAGTCCTGGCTCCCCCCCCCCCCCCTTTCTTTTAAAGATTTACTTATTTTACTTGAAAGAGAGAGAGAGGAGGGAGGGAGGGAGGAAGAGAGAGAGAGAGAGAGAGAGAGAGAGAGAGAGAGGTCTTGCATCTGCTGGTTCACTCCCCAAACAGTCGGAGCTGCACCAATCCGAAGCCAGGAGCCTCTTCCAGGTCTTCCAGTGGGTGCAGGGGCCCAAGCACTTGGGCCATCTTCCACTGCTTTCCCAGGAGCATCAGCAGGAAGCTGGATCAGAAGCAAAGCAGCCAGGACTCGAACCGGCGCCCATACGTACGGCTTTACCTGCTACACTACAGCACTGGCCCCATGGCTTCACTTCTAATTCTAGCTTCCTGCTAATGTGCACCCTGAGAGCTACTGGGTGATGACTTGAGTACTTGGGTCCCTACTACCCAGGTGGGAGATCTAGATTGAGATCTGGACTCCTGGCTGCAGTCTGACCCAGTTCTAGCTTTCATAGGCATTTGGAATAAACCAGCAGAGGGAAGTTCTCACTCCATCTGCCACTGTCTCTGTCTCTCTTGCCGTTCAAATGACTAAAAATAAATAAATATTTAAAAAACCTGCCAGTGGGTGGCAGTGAATACAATCAATAATAGAATTGTATGAGCCCACTGCTATGGTTTGTACTAAAGCAACAGCAATTTTGCAACCAGTATACATGCTAACATGGTGAGAAAGGCAACATTTCAGTGATATGATGAAAACAGCTTTGTGGACTCCCTGCCAAGATCTCTGAGGCCCAGAGGGTCCACAGAAATACTCTGAGAACAACTAATTCCAAGGGGGCTTTCTGGAGTAAGACAGAAATTTTATTTTAAGATTTATCTATTAATTTGAAAGGCAGAGCCACAAAGAGAGGGAGAGAGGTAGAGAATGAGAATCTTCCATCCGTTGGTTCACTCCTCAAATAGCTGCAATAGCCAGGTCTGCACAAGGCTGAAGCCAGGAACTCCACCATTCACATGAGCAGTAGGGCACAAGCACTTGAGCCATCTTCTGTTGCCTTCTCAGCCTCATTAGCAGGGAGCTGCATCAGAAGCAGAGTAGGGGCCAGCATTGTGGCGTATCAGGTAAAGCCACTGCCTGCAGTTCCAGCATCCCATATGGGTGCTGCTTCTAGTCCCAACTGCTCCATTTCCAATCCAGCTCCCTGCTGGATTATTTATTTGAAAGTCAGAGTTACAGAGAGGGAGAGGGAGAGGCAGAGGCAGAGAGAGGTGCCTCCATTCACTGGTTCACTCCCCAAATAACCACAATGGCTGGGACTGGACCAAGCTGAAGCCAGGAGTCAGGAGCTTCATTTGGGTCTCCCACATGGGTGCAGGGACCCAAGATCTTGGGCCATTCTCCACTGCTTTCCCAGGCGCATTAGCAGGGAACTGGATCAGCAGGGATTTGAATTGACACCCATATGGGATGCTGGTGCTGCAGGTGACAGCTTTAACTGCTATGCCACAGTAGTGGTCCAGGCCAAGAAATCTTTGGACAGCAATCAGATGAAGGAGAGTCAAAAGAATCTTCAATATACAAATCTGGAACAAACCCAGATTAGTTGTTTCCTACCTTAGTGCCACTCGATACTTCTGCCCCAATTTCTCAATTTCTGCCATTACACAATCAGTTATACAAGGAATACCTGCAAGAAAAAAACCCAAACACACATTAGTAACACAATTTGTGAAAAAAATTCTCTCTGAATTATATCGTGTTCAGAATCTTTAAAAGTACTAGGAGCCTTCTGGAAGGATAGCAGAAAAGGAACTAGAGAAAAAAACTCCTATTCATTAAGAAACTAGGCAACTGCTCCAACCCCATACCACAGATTCCAGAAAGTATCTGTCATGATCTGGGTGAAACAAATTAAGTTGGATTATGTTGTTATTTTTATGTGTTTTTTTTTTTTCCTAAGATTTATATTGATTTTGAAAGTCAGAGTTATAAAGAGAGAGGGAGGCCGGTGCCGCGGCTCACTAGGCTAATCCTCCGCCTTGCGGTGCCGGCACACCGGGTTCTAGTCCCGGTCGGGGCGCCGGATTCTGTCCCGGTTGCCCCTCTTCCAGGCCAGCTCTCTGCTGTGGCCCGGGAGTGCAGTGGAGGATGGCCCAAGTGCTTGGGCCCTGCACCCCATGGGAGACCAGGATAAGTACCTGGCTCCTGCCATCGGATCAGCGCGGTGCGCTGGCCGCGGCGGCCATTGGAGGGTGAACCAACGACAAAGGAAGACCTTTCTCTCTGTCTCTCTCTCTCACTGTCCACTCTGCCTGTCAAAAAAAAAAAAAAAAAAAGAGAGAGAGAGAGAGGGAGACACAGATCTTCCATTCTCTGATTACTCCCTAGATCACTGCCATGGACAGCAGTCAAGATGCCCACATCTCATGTCAGAGTGCCTAGTTTCAATACTTGGCTCTGCTTATGACTCTGTTTCCTACTAATGCAGAACCTGGGAGGCAGATGTGACGGCTCAAGTTTTGGGTTTCTAGCACTCATACGGGGGATCTGGATTGGGGCATCAGGCACTGGAGGCTGTTGCAGGTATTTGGGAAATAAACCAGTGAATACAGGAGCTCTATCTCAATGTGTCTCTCTGACTCTCAAATAAATTTTTAAAAAATTCTGAAGAAAGGGGCTAGCACTGTGGCGTAGCAGGTAAACCCGCTGCCTCCAGTGTCAGTGTCACATATGAGTGCCGGTTTGTGTCCTGGCTGCTCCACTTCTGATCCAGCGCTCTGCTGTGGCCTGGGAAAGCAGTGGAAGATGGCCCAAGTCCTTGGGCTCCTGCCACCCATGTGGGAGACCCAGAAGAGGCGCCTGGCTCCTGGCTTTGGATTGGTGCAGCTCTGGCCGTTGCGGCCAATTGGAGGTGAACTTGCGGATGGAAGACACCTCTCTCTCTCGCTCTCTCCTCTCTCTGTGTAACTCTTCCAAGTAAATAAATAAATCCTTAAAAAAAATTCTAAAGAAGAATATGTATACTGAAAAACAGAACAGCTTTTCATTTATCCGCAACTTAAAAAATCTAGATTTCTGGGGCCGGCACTGTGGTGTAGCAGGTAAAGCTGCTGCTTGCAGTGCCAGCACCCCATATGGGTGCCGGTTCTGATCCACCTCTCAGCTATGGCCTGGGAAAGCAGTGGAAGATGACCCAAGTCCTTGGGCCTCTGCACCCACATGGGAAACCCAGAAGCTCCTGGCTCCTGGCTTTGGACTGGTGGAGCTCCAGTCAATTGGGGAGTGAACCAGCAGATGGAAGACTTCTCACTCTCTCTGTGCCTCTCTTCTCTCTGTGTAACTCTGACTTTCAAATAAATAAATAAATCTATTAAAAAAAATCTAAATTCTAAAATAGAAACTCTCCCACCTATGTTCAAAATCAATGTCCATAATGATGATTAAAGCACTCTGTTTTCTGAATTGTGAAAGCTTAATTATTCCCAGTCAAGGATGCATTAATTTCAATTTATTGAGAATGATCACTGCTGTAGTGGCCACTGCAGAATAAATGGACAACAGTCCAGGTGACCGGAAGTCCACACCCCTCTTCATGTATTTGGATACATATGATTATGGTAAACAAATGCTGCAGAAATATAAAAGTATAATACTCACACTTGGCATACAGACAATCCATCATTGATTGTATTAAGTCCAGTTTGGCTTTAATGGAAAAGTTGATAAAGTTGGTATCAACGAGGATGTGGTAAGGTGGGCCCAGCTGAGTGTTATATTGGAAGAATAAGCAGGAAGGGTGCTGGGGGCTGATGGAAAAAGAAATTAAGAACATCAAGTCACGTCCATTTGGCACTTTGGCGCATCAACAAAAACAAAAAAGCAAGTCTCTGGACAGGGTACCACAGATAAAACTTTCTCTTGTTCATTGAAAATAAATCCTAAAAAGGCAAGGAAGGAAATAACAGCATATCTTAATCTCAAGTTCACTTGCACACTTCATATGAGTTCCTGTATCAGACACAGAACAGCCATGGGTACAGGGAGGTAGACCACAGCTGTCATGGTGAGAATGATGCTACCAATTTGCCGTTCTCACAGACTCCTAAAAGGGTTGTATGGAAGGTGACAGGGCTTGCCCAAAGTGAGGGTTATACACTATACATGGCAGGGTCTGTTTCTCATCTGAAAGCTCAAGATGTTGGGGCTGAATCTGAGGGTGAATCTGCGTTGAATTTTTAACAGTAGTTTATGGACCAGTACCCAGCCATGATGATATATCCATCATCAATGAACAAAATGAAATACTTATTTTAAAGCAATAATCTTTATTCTAAAAATAAATCCTTACTTTCTTTTGGTTATTCAGTCTCTCTTTTATGCTGGTGTGTTAAACCACAATTTAAAAAAAAAATTCTTGGCAATAAAAGAAGTTAATAGGGTTACATTATATTCCCAGGATTTTAGGGGCAATTTTGCTGCTCCCCGAAATATTGAAACCTTCAGGGGCCTGCACTGTGGTGTAGTAGGCCAAGCCTCAGCCTACAGTGCCTGTATGTCATATGAGTGCCAGTTCGAGTCCTGGATGCTCCACTTCCCATCCGTCTCTGTTATGGCCTAGGAAAGTAGTAGAAGATGGGCCAAGTCCTTGGGCCCTTGCACCCACGTGGGAGACCCGGAAGAAGCTCTGGCTCTGGCTGTTGCAGCCATCTGGGGAGTGAACCATAGGATGACCTCTCTCTGTAGCTCTACCTCTCAAATAGATAAGCAGGGATTTCTAAGAGGCCTGTGGTTCTGAGAACATCGCTTCAAATTCCAAAGGAAAACCTGAAGCTTCTGGTTACTCACACTTCTCTTTCCTTCAGTGCACTGGGGTCCTTCTTTTCCTTCTTCTTAGGTTTTAATCTATCCTTTTCTTTACTAAGAAGAAAAAAGCACACAGTAGTTATAATCTCATTCTACCATTTTTTTTTTTGGTACACAGAAGACATCCTACTTTGTAACTGCTTTACGTTCACATCAGCATACATTTTCCGAGCAAATCACCGCAGTGGGAAGCAGCCTGGAAGTCTCAAAACTAATCAGTACAGCCAGGATTCCATAAAAACTGTTAACAGGCCAATACAATTGATTATGTTATCTTTTTTTTTTTTTTTTTTTGGTTAGGAGCTCTCATAACAAGGATCAAAACCCACAGCTAAGCAGCAGGGAAACAGGCTGACTTTTATCTTACCAAGACTCAGATCCCGTATAAGTTGGAGGGGAAAGGATTCTCCCATAAGCCTCTTATAAAGGCTAAACCTTAACAATGCATACACAAAAGTTAAATGTTAGGTAGGAAGAAAATATTACTGATGGGGTGTCATTCTTAAAAAATGACATAATAACTTCACATTAAAGGCAGGCTGAGGAGCCGCCACTGTGGCGTAGTGGGTAAAGCTGCCTCCTGCAGTGCCAGCATCCCATATGGGCGCTGGTTCGAGTCTTGGCTGCTCCACTTCCAATCCAGCTCTCTGCTATGGCCTGGGAAAGCAGTAGAAGATGGCCCAAGGCCTTGGGCCCCTACACACACACATGGGAGACCCGGAAGAAGCTCCTGGCTCCTGGCTCTGGATTGGTGCAGTTGCGGCCAATTGGGGAGTGAACCAGCAGATGGAAGACCTTTCTCTCTCTCTCTGCCTCTCCTTCTCTCTGTAACTCTGACTTTCAAAAAGAAAAATCTTAAAAAATAAAAAAAGGCAGGCTGAGAATACTTTTGAAGGCTCTAAGGACTATTCTCTTGTTCGGAGTCTCTTAAACTCACTGACGCAGTTATTTAGGTCTTCTTTGTGACAGGGACTACTACTGCCCTCTCTTCCAAGGTGATCTGGATTCCTTTACGATTTATAAAACGGAGAACTTTCCCATTCTCTTTAAAAAACATTTGAGGGTCAGATGCTGGAGACCCAAGACAAATATGTCCTCTGACCTCACCATCTTTCAACATAGATCAAAAACGCATTTTCCCCCTCTGGGGAACGTTGTGCTGTAACAAGATAAAGATTCGCACATCGACCTCTCACAAAACTGTTAGCATCCTTAAACGTAATGTGGCACATAATACAACAAGGTGTTCACTCAAGAAATGTTTAACTCCCAGGTCTTTCCCAGTGTAACTGTGTGACTACTACCCCATGAGAATAAATCTAAGGCAACAACATTCAAAGTAAAAACAAACAAAACACAAAAGCTTTTCCTACTTCTTCCCCCGTACCGCTGGCAACTAAGACCCAGCTGATTGCGGACACTTACAGCCTCTCATCTCTTAGACTAAGCATTCGCTTCATGGTCGCATACTTCCTTGCTTTCTTTTGCTTCCCCTTGAAACAGAAATCGTAAAGTTAAAAGAGTTGGAAACGCACTGCATTTTGAAAAGTCCCTTCTTTTTTTGTGTCCATTCCCGTCCCCTCTTCCCGCGAACACACCCCTCTCCCCATTCGCTAAGGCATAACCGGTTCCGCTCGGAGGATTTTTAAAGACCAGAATGAGCACAAACTAGGGGAATGCGGGCGAAATTTTGCCAAGCACAGAATCCCTCCGTACAGTAGCCTCAGACAACCCAGTCTTGGACCCCCTCCCTTACCATGCTCTTGCCGTACTCTTGGTTCTTCCGGAATCACCGATAGCGCGACACTTTTACGTCATCTGCTACTGTTTCCGGTAAAGGGTAGCCCGGAAGCGGAAGTCACTTGGGAAACGGAAAAGTCCCGAGCCGGCTTGTCAGACCCGTCGGAAACCTGTGCTGGGGTTTTTTAAGGGGTGAGGGTTGCTTGCTAGTGATCTACTGCTGGGTGTTGCTGTCACCTTCCAGGACACCAGGGCTGCCGCTTCGCCGCGCTGCCACCCCCAGCTCGGGTAACGTTTCTCTCCAGCCCGAGGTGGAGCCCAGATCTGCCTGCACCAGGGTTCCAGGAGGAGGGAGCACAGGGTAGGGAGGTCGGAAGCCTGGGTTACCCAGTAGTTTTGGGAAACACATTCTCCTTGTTCCCCAGTGCTCGGCATCAAGTCTCTGCGGTGCAAGCCTGTGGCTTTGGTTGCTAATCGGTGCTCCCAGCAGGCCCGGTGCTTCGTACCGCTAGGTGGGCGACCCTCCGCGAGTGGACACCGCGCGTTCGTCGCGGCAAAGAGGGGTGAAGCCGCGTTTGAGGGTCTTCTTCAGGCTGTCACTGGACAGTTGAGGATTAGCCGGCGTGTGTGCCTGCTGACCAGGCCGGGAAGACGGTGGGAGACGGTCGATATATATTATGAAGCCGTGGGGTACCTAACTTAAGGGGAAAGAGAGACTTTGTGAGAACAAAAAGGGAAAGATAACTTGCTTTTTTAAATTTTCCTTTTTCTTGAATACCTACCATGAGTTGCAGCGGTTCTTAACCTTTTAAAGATCGTATATCCTTTAAAAGTCAGTGGAAAGGCAGGGACAACTCTTTTAAAAATGGGCTTGCATACCCACCGTGGGTCCTCTAGGTCTGTAAACTTGAGCTTTAAAAACCTTTGTCCTGTACGTGTAATTTACCTTCTCTGACCTTCACAATCACTTAAGCACCGTCCTTTTGCACGTGGAGAAGCTGGGGCCCAGACTTGGTCTGTTTGGATTTAGTTGAACCCAAAACCCATTCTTTATTATTACACGGTGCTATCCTGGTGGTTGGAGGCCAGAAAAATTAACAGATAGAAAAAAAGGTGGTGTATTGGTTAACATGAACTTTCTAGATTGATGGGGATGGGGTCTCTCACAAGCTGTATGTCGTTGAGTGGATTAATCTGTGCCTCAGTTTCTCCATCTGTTAAATGGAGATAATTATAGTAGTCTGTGCCTTACAGGAATGTCATCAGGACTTAGGGTAAAATATGAAGTTCACAGAACGCGGGCTACCACGAAAAAACCCTTCCAGTATTTCCTGTTAGCGTTGTGTATCTTCCAACGTAGAGGAGTGTGGTTAGGGTTGGAATTTTATGCTAGTTTTTTTTTTTTTTTTAAATATAGTTGATCTATTTTGGAACCTGAAGGTGGTGATAAACCTTGGAAACCTTATTAAGTTTTCAAGTTTCGAAAGCCTTGGTTGCAGGGTGGTTTCTTGGGTTGCTTTGGGAGTAGACTGCATTCTTCCCGCTTCTTTCTCTTTTGGGCATGTGTTCAGATAGCTTCATAGTTCACATTTCTGTAGGCTCTGAATTTTGCTGTTGAAGTAGTTTTCTTATTGAAGCATCTGCAGATACTGTATGTATCTGTTTGAGGTTACTGGAGTTCCTGACTTGGAACGGCTTGTCTCTGCCAGCCCATCATTCATGAACAGAGCTGATAGCAGCCACTTTTTCTCATGCATTTGGATGTCTTTTGTGATTAGGCAACACATTTTTTGCAAAGGTGGTCACTTTTTTTTAACATTAGTAGACTGATTATATAAAGGTTCAGAGGGAAAGTTGTGTATAATCAAGTAGTAATTTGCATTTGAATTATTTCAGCCTCTGTTGCCCTGCTTTGTGGTCTTTTGGGGTGTGAACCAGCAGATGGGGGTGTGCTCGCTTGCTCTCTCCTTTCTAAATCTGCCTTTCAAATCTTAAAAAGAAAAAAATAAATTCAGGCATTGACAGAAAAACACTCCCTTGATAATGTGGATCCTTAATTAATTTTGTAATCCATGCACAATAAGTTTTTTTTTTTTTTTTAAAAACCTAGTTTTTATTCTGAGAATTTTCTGATTTGCTTGATTGTTTATACTTGACAGGGAGTTAAATTAGTGTAGGAACAACATAGGGGATCAGAATGTACTTAGAAAAATAGGTTTTGTTATATTGTAATTTATTGCAATGTGAGGTTTTTGTAGCCTGGGATTAAAGCACTCAGATACTTTATTGCGTTCTTTGGGGTGGGAAGTGGGGAGGTGGTGTTGATTTGTGTTGAGTGGGAGTAGAAAGTAATTGCTTTTGGGTACATACTTGTGAAAAGAAATTATTTTAGTCCTTCTCAACAGTCAAGAGAATTGTTTTGATTTTCCTGCAGTCTTAAAGAGAAAGAATCTCAAGGCATTGGACCCGTAATTGGGCTTGGACTCCATTCCATTCTCTAATTGGTCTAAGTTACTAATTTAAGTTGGTAACATTTCTTTATAAATTGTTACGGATAATGAAAGAACATCTTGTATTTCAATTTTAGTAAATTTTAGGTAGATTCACTTTTGTGGCTATCAAGGAGAACAAAAATAATTTTAAAGTATTTTCTTCTTTTTCAAGTTAGAGCTTTTACATTTATGAGGCACATAACATGACTTCCCTCTCCCCACCCCCAGCAAATATTGGTTGCTGTTAATTGTTTTGAGTTAATTGGACTGCCTCTAATTGAGGCAGCACGGTGTTCGTGGTCTTGATGTTGAATTGGTTTGTAAGGATACCTCAGAGGGAGGTTGACGCTGCATGCTTATTCAGAAAGCGTTTCTTGAGGGCCGTTCTGTCTAGGCAGCGTGCTAGTTGCTCTTCAGGAGTTCAGTCCACTATTGGAGAAAGTCTGGTGAACAGTTGTGGCAGGAGCTTGAATCAAGGTTTGTGAACTGAAGTATTTTAGAAGAATCATAGCGCCTGTTCACCCTTCTAGAGGTGGCCCAGGTCAGAGCACTGTTGTATAATATTTACTAGGTCAATATGCCGTATGATAGATCAGATTTTATGACCTTAATGGATTCTAGTGTATCATTTACTTTTTAAATGGCTTTAGTCATAAACTAGACTTGGGTTCAAATTTCAGGTTTTGTCTTCTTTTTTTTTTTTTTAAGAGTTCATTCATGCTTAGCCTTCACTAATATTTTGTATAGGGCTTTCAGGCTTGGGCATGCACACTTCTTCTTACAGTGTGTGTATGTGTGTATGCATGCGTGTATGTGCGTGTGCACGTGCCTGAGCCCTTGATGTGTGTTATATCAGCATGGTCAGACTGTTGCCATAAAACCTATGAGATAGGTTTAATAGAGAGACGTGACTATTCATTTAGTTATTAGAAGCTAATGTCATGGTAGATTCATATTTTATCATTTAGACTGAATAGAACAGCACTGTATGACTTAGGTGGATTTTTGTTACCTTGAATGGTTGAGGAATTTGCTTTGGTTTTTAGAGCTTACAGCTGAAGCATTCATTTCAGTGCAGTTTGCCTATTAATATTGAGATGTTAATAGTCAACATCTGTTAATTGAATTTTCTAGTCATGGTACTCTTTAGTTAGAGGTAAGATAGTGTAATAAAATACAACATTAGCGTCCCCTTTTAGCTAGAGATCCAGCCCATGTTACTTGAGCCTTTCTCTTGTCCATTTTGGGAAGCTCCAATCCAAGGATACTCCCTGGTATATGTAGTGAAGCTATTAGGAAGAGAAAGCAGTTAAAACTTGCCAAACTAATTTTTCACATCTTGATGAAGAGAGAACTCATCTGGGCTATGCAAATAATTTAGAGGAAAGGGTTAAAAAAGATTTTTTTAAAAAATATTTATTTATTTATTTGAGAGACAGAGTTACAGACAGAGGGAGAGACAGAGAGAGGTCTTCCACATGCTGGTTCATTCCCCAGATGGCCACAATGGCCAGACATGGGCTGATCTGAAGCCAGGAGCCAGGAGCTTCTGCTGGGTCTCCCACACAGGTGCAGGGGCCCAAGCACTTGGGCCATCTTCCCCTACTTTCCCAGGCCATCAGCAGGGAGCTGGATTGGTAATAGAGCAGCCAGGACTCGAATTGGCATCCATGTGGGATACTAGTGCCGCAGGCGGAGGTTTAACCTACTACACTACAGCGCTGGGCCTGAAGAAGATTTAAAAGTGCTTTTAGCCCAGCGTTATCAGACTTGGGGCAGTGATTAGGAAACCGTGGTCAGAATCCCAAGGGAGAGTGAGAATGTAAAGTTGGAAATAATGTACAAGTTAAAAACTTTTTATTGTGGAATAATTTTAAATTTAGAAGGTGTTGAACAGATAGGCCAGTGTTTCTGCATGCCTTTTACCCAGCTTCTCCTAATGTTAATTTCTTACATAACCATGATGCATTTGTCACGTCTAACAAATTAACATTAGTATAGTACCGTTAACTAAAGTATGGACTTTATTTGGATTTCACAGATTTTTTTCACTAATGTCATTTTTCTGTCCTGGGACCCAATTCAGAATACCACGTTGCATTTAGACCATGTGGAATTTTGATAAATAAGTTGAGATTTCAATGAGTGCTTTTTTTGTGCTCTGTATGTGGTCCAGTAATCTCTGACCCATGCTGAAGAGTGAGTCATTGACCATGAGAATAAATAAATCTGCATAGGTAGTATTTTGTATTCTTTGATTCCCAGAGCACTGTTAACTCCGTGCAGACGTTGGCTTTGCTCCCAGGAGAAGCTGGGTTGCTCTCCTGAGAAGCTACAGTGAGTCCTGAGTGAGGTACCCATCCTGGGCTCCGGTAATACCTGCACTCACCTCAGAGATTTCATTACATGAAAGGATAATGAATTATGTATTTGTCTGTCTTTGCTAAACTGTATGGTTCTCAAGGGTTGTAGACTGTTTTACTCATTTTGGAATCCCCAGGGCCCAGCATATTGCTTGGCATGTGCAAGATTCTTAATACACATTGGAAGAAATTAATAAATCTATGGTTTTTTTTTTTTTCAAGATTTATTTATTTGAAAAGCGGTTGGGTATGGGAGAAGCAGGCGGAGATCAGTCTGTGTTCCATTCACTGGTTCACTCCCCAAATGGGCTGCCAGGACTGGAGCCAGGAGCCCAGAACTCCTTCCATGTCTTCTACATAAGTGGCAGGGGACCAAGCAATTGGGCCGCCATCTACTGCTTTCCCGGTGAATTAACAGGAAGCTGGATCAGAAGTGGCGCAGCCAGGACTTGACCTGGTGTTCATGTGGGTTGTTGGCATGGCCATGGAGGCTTACCCTGCTATGC